TACTTGACAATGAACAAAGACCACTCTTCATATAGCATCACGCTTACAAACATAAAGGTGCCTGTATCTCCAAACTTTACAATGAAACGTGCGGTTTTTATTAGAGCAATGTGCTCGGCTTGGCCAACAGCACCCTGTGTGAAAGTTCCACGTTCAATGTCGCAACTAGCCCAAAAAATATTTTTTTGGTCGTCGTCGTCGAAGAGGTCGACCCCCAGATCCAGTTTGGCTGGTGGCGACATTGCGAAATCTGGGATTGGCAAGCTTGATCGTGAAACTGGCACCCAAGGTGCAGTTGGCCAAGCCGAGCACATTGCTCTAATAAAAACCCCACGTTTCATTGTAAAGTTCGGAGATACAGGTACCTTTATGTTTTACATATACTGTAAGCATGATGGAGTTGCTTTCTCCTAATGGATGGTGTCGGTAGCATTGATGGAAAGATGAAGAGCTGAGTGAAATGGCACGTGGTGGTTACACAAACACGTCCTTGACAGGTTGCTGCACAAATGGATGATGATGATGATGAATGCCTTTTGTCAAGGTACGTAAGTAAAACAACATCCAACAATGAAGGTGTGTCAAGGTATGTGTGTACGACAATAAGGGTTCCATATCACATTTTGCATGTAGGAGAAGGTCGAGCTGCATGAATCAACTTGTATGGGTCACTCATCCTGAAACTCAATGGAGGGATCAATCCCACTCCTCTTTATTGTATCACAAAAGCCATATACTTCTTGCATGACCGATAACCGGAACACCTTTATTATTCCATCTTCGGAGCAATAGTATGTAATCCACAAGCAAGCAAAGTATAAACAATGCTTTATTTCATCTAGCTATCTTGCTACATTGCCACCATCGTCATCATTCGTACTCATACTCATACTCGTATGTACACGTCACCAGTCGTCAATCTCATCGTCGCAAATATCAAAAATACACAAGTTGAAAAGAATGGGATCTTGCAGGTTTCCTTTTGAGACTCGTTGTTGTTATCATCGTCATTGTTGCAAGTGTCGTGATCATCGTCATTTATGAGGATGTAGTGATCATCGTTATCGAAACGACATCAATGAGTGCGCTGGTGGGAGTCGGCGTTGAGTTGGCACTAGGAGACGTCGCCATGGATACCACTAGGCTATTCATATACAGCAGCCATGGATACATAAAAGAGTGTCAGTTCATAGAGCCTTACCTATACTAAAAAAGACTATGCACATACATAGCTCGTTGGCATTTAGTAGGACGCATAGAAGAACCTATTCTTTTCTATTTGTGTCTTGGGTGGTTCTCACGATCACGGCGACTATGATGAATGAAGACAACCATGGCAAAGTAGCATAGCTAGAAGCATTGTTTATTATCCACTTGGACTTAGCTAGCTTATAACTCCTCCCTTTTAATTGCTTGTAGATGTAGCTTACAGTATATGGTGGGATGTAAAAGTGATTCTGCTATCGGTCTTGTACGAAGTATATGCCTTTTCTGATACAGAAGCGAGTGGGTTGACCTTCTTCCGAGTAAAAGGGATCCTTTGTTATTGGGTTTCAGGACGAATGATCAATCCAACATACCTTACTGTGAACAAAAGAGTGACATGAGGACACGAAATTATTGGGTGTTATGCAGTTCAATGCACTACGTTGTACCTTCTCATCAAAGGCAACCACCATCCATCCATTTGTGCTTAGCCAATTATGCTGGATGTTGTAGTAATCAGTGTAGCTTCAAGTCCAAAATCCCGACTGGTTTCAGAACCCAGCAAGCATTCTTTTGCTTGTTCAGCCCACATCCTCGCACCCCAACCACACAATTGGACCAAGTGGAAAACAGTTACGATAAGGTTTATTTACAGCAATACATTGAAGTGGCTCTAAACTCATTAGAAGGTAGCTTGTTTGCTTGAGTCGATAGAGACAGCGCTTATGCATGTGACAGTTTTATGGTTATCCTAGACGAGCTTCCTTTTTGAGTGGCCAAAGTTAATCCGAACAGCTATCTCAGACCTCTTTCAACTTGATTACTCATGAGCCAAAAACTTGACGATATTTGGGCGTCTAGCGATGAAGACGATGTCGCATACGATCGTGACATTGCGAAACGGGAATGGGAGAAACTGAACACCAACCACGGGAATGTAAGGATCGATTGCTTGATCGCGGGTGTTACGGTATTGAAACTTATTATGTGACAATAGGAAGGATATAAAGAGGGGATCACAGAAGGCAAGGAAGTGTTAATGCAACAAGGCTTTGATCGAGGATACAGTGAAGGCATTGAATTGGGGAAAGCATTTGGACGGTTGCGAGGCAAAGTGAGGTAACATGACAACAATGGGAAACGTGTCGCAGCATTGGATTGCTAACTCATGCATATCAGCACGTATATGACATTTTATCGAGACATTCTCCAAGATGAACAAAGTCTATCCCAATTACAAGAACTATATGATGAACTATGCAAGGTCGATGTACAACATGTCTTCACCACTGACTACTTTAAGGATATCGGCAATCATGATCCAAAAGAAGCACTGGCACGTTGGGAAGCCAAAGTTCAGGACGCATTGAAGGACTTGAAGTAGTAGAATCAAATACCATGAATTAATAGACATACATGCATATTCAATAAACACGAGAGCATTGACAATAGATAACAAAAGGCATTGGTTGACATTTGATGGTACATGGATTTTGTATTTACGCAGCTCTAGGCTTAACAGTGGTTTCAACAACAAGCTTCTCGCCGGTGGTATACAAGGTGCTAATAAGTGCCTGACGTTTGACAACCTCGAGTTCCTTCTCGGCCTTGCTGATCATGGCTGCTATCTTTTCGGGATCGGCTTCGTTGGCATTGGCACGGAATGCGTCTCTGGAACGTCGCACAGCGTAATCGCGGAAGTTGTAGGAGGAAAACTTGTTTCCATAACGCAGAAAGTTTCGATACAGAGAGAGGACTTGAGTACGAGTTGCAGGGGTAGCCATTTGGAATAAAAAGTGTGTGGAGAACAAGAAAGAGATATACCTCGGTCGATTCCACCGAAATCCAGCGCACTTTCATGATGGCCGTGGCTGAGACTGAATCCCCCATCTGTTGTCATGGAAATGAAATCAATTCATCCAATACGATCATGCAGCTCCTGATTTCTTTTCAAAGCTCTTTATTCAAGTGTCGCCTTGTTACATGATATACATTCAGTCACAGCACAAAACATAGCTATAATGTGAAAGCATTAAAAGAGGGTAATAGGAAAAAGACATCGCCGACGGCTACAATAAAGGGAAGCTGTGCGAATGAAATATGTAATAGTAGAGGAGAATAATGTATGCAACATGAGATGTATAAAAGACGAGGAGTAACGTCAAGCAGTTCGAAAACTTTAAGCCATAATAACATGAGCGTATTGGGATTCATAGCAGATACCCATCGGAAAATGGAGGAGATTGGTGTTGCATAATAGTGGAATAGTGTTATTGTTGCCTAGGCTTGCTGTGGTAGAACTTGATTCAAAAAGCGAGTGAGCTCGACCGGCGAGGCACACGACAAAAGATTGCTCTTGATATGAACATCGATTTCCTACGCATTCAAATACCATGGTCAGTAATCTATTACCCATGATTGGTTGTTTTCATCCCATCACCATTGTCACTTACCAGCAGGACATCTTTAGCTGAAGGTCTTGTGCTAGGTTCTTCGTCCAATAGCCAAGCTACCAACCCACGCATATACATTGATGGGTAACTATAAGTGAAAGTTGGCCCAGGCTCTGTGGCGATGATATCGAAAAGCTCTTCTTCATCCTTGATAAGGTAATGGGGTGGTACTCGATCCATCATTTCAATCACAGTGATACCCAGTGACCACAAATCGATTTTCTCGTCGTAAATTTCCTCCCGGATAACCTCGGGTGCCATCCATTTTGTTGTACCAAGTCTATCTCTGTTGCCACTGGCAAGACGTGCAGCCAATCCAAAATCGGCTAAAGAAGCAAGCATCATCATCAGCACATCATGTAAGCTTTAGCAGGTACCACCATCCATCACTTACCAAGTTTCACTTCACCGTTCCAACCAAGTAATAGATTTTCACATTTAATGTCACGATGCAAGAATCCTTTGTTGTGGAGGTATATCAATGCCTTGAGCGTCTCGCATGCAATGTAGATTGTATACTCTTCGGGGATGCCTCGTTGACGAAGGATGGCAAATACTGAGCAACGCATTAAATCCATGGCAATCCAAATGTCATCACGATACAAGGTCACCTCACGAAGTCTGATGATGTTTTTGTGGCCGCTGGCCATGATCTTGAGCTCACGCACAAGAGCTGCGCGATATTCACAATCAGGAATAAGCCTGCAACGCTTGATGGCAACAGCCGACTTGCTTTTTTGGTTCCGGTACACGGCACGTACAACTGCACCATTGACACTAGTGATAGGTATTCTTGTATTAAATGATTGTAATGCTATGTTGCAGTAGATGTGATACTTACCCTGTGCCTATTTCTTCAAAATTGGTATATCGTAGCCGAGGATCGGATGATCGAACATGTGTCTTGGGCAACAGCTTTCGTAGCTTGATCTCAAACTTGTTTCCAACACCACTTTGGGCTAGTGATGGCAATTGAGGAATCTCAAAGTATGGGCTTGGAGGATACCATGGTCGCTGTAGTGGATTTGCTTTAGAGCTCATTGCTTCAATGTAGACATAATAAATGAGTCATTGTTTACCTTTGTAATCTGCTTTGAAGGATCACGTGGTCGTAAATGGAAAGCAACAGCAGGTGATGGTCTTAGATACGCGTTGCCAAGAATGTCAGGGATCTCATAGCAACCTGGCGGGCGCCAGATATCCTGCAATGCAACCATTGAGAAAATTGTTCAACCTTGTATTTCTCGACTTACTTTGTTGCCACTCGCCGATTGACAAAACGAAGCGGTTCTTGTGATATTTCCTGTCGATTTGCGTTTAGGATGCGCAGAGGATGAGACGCTGAAACTCGATCGGTTCCCACGATTGGGTTCTGATTTCGACTTTTGCATTGCTGTCGACTACGTTTTGCATAGTGCATGGTATGAGCGGTGGTAGAAAACAGCGAATAGAATAGGATAGCTTGGGGGAGTAAAATACTGACCTTGATAAAAGAGTTTTGGTTTCTTTGTGTTGGCCTTGTTGTATGCATTTCTTGTTATGAGTTTATATATAGGTGTATGTGTGGTGTAATAGAGGGGAATAGGGATAGAAGAACGAGGGGAAGCAGCAGCTCTTTAAAAGATACAAAGAATAAGGAGGTTGTCTATGAGAAAGGAGTGGAAAGTGGGAAGCACAAAGATTGCGTGAGTGTGTGCTGATGATATATCTGACGGGTAACTGTCGATCAAAAAGAGATGCTTTTTTTCCTCAGGCTATTGTTCTACCCACATGTCTTATGGTTATGGTGATCACGCTGCTTGCTCAAAGCATCCTTCACATTTCAACTAGTCAAGGTTGTGTTGCACGACTCACTATCCATAAGCCATTGATCGACAACATGTGCTGATTGATTGACAGTACTACTCCCCACCTTGGTACAGCTCCAGCTTGTCGTCATGCATATGTTAATACAAGTAACAAATCATACATTGGCATAGATCGACTGATTTTATTGTTTGTGTACCCATCGTTAATGCAGTGCGCTCGCATGTTCTTTCCAAATTCGGTATTCTTGGCTGCACAAATCACACAAATATCGCTTCTCCCGCCTTCTCATTATGATCATCATTTATGTCTATTCTTTTGAAGAATTCTCTACAATATCTACAATCGCATTCCCTTGTCCATCTAGCTTAACAATCTTATTATGATATCCAATCATGTCGGGATGATGGCTGATGCTGATAAGTGCGATGCCTTTGCTGATAAGTGTATTATAGATGTGAGCTTCAGAATCGGTATCCATGGCACTGGTCGCTTCGTCAAGGGCTATGGGTCATAGATAAATCATGTATGAGTCAACATGATGTTGCTATCCAACTCCAAAAACGTACCTGCAAATCGTGGCAACCGGTAAAAGACTCTTGCAAAGATGAGACGTTGCTGCTCGCCAGGGGAAAGCATCTTTTGCCACTCTTCTCCGTAATGCGTATCGAATGAAGTGACCAAATGCTCCAAGTGGCTCAATTGTACAAGCTCAAGCAACTCCCGTATTTGGTTGTCAGGAACTAATGAAAACATGCAAATAAGCAAAGCATTATCGACATCATGGAATTGGTGGTAAACATACCGGGTGTATCTGCCGAAGATGGGGGATAAGAAATTTGATTACGGAGGGAGCCATGGACAAGATAGGGTGTTTGTGATAGAAACATTATGTCATTTGAGGACATCCCAGGGGGCTTGAGAATGCGTCCTGCGATTAAAACAGGGTGTGAGCATCATTTGACAAATCGAGAAACATCCAATATTATACCAGCTGAGCAATGCCATAGTCCAGCTAAGGCACGAAGCAAGGACGATTTACCACTTCCTATTCAACAAAAGAGATCAGCAATGGGTAGGACATAAAGCCAACAAGCAAAACGCTTACCATTGGGTCCAACAAGAACGACACGATCCATAGGATTGATGGTGAGATTAAAATCGGATACCAGTGTTCTGCCATTGGGTGCTGTAAGTTCCACATCTTGAAACTCAATGCAGTCGCTATCAAAGGTATCATGTCCAGCTTTAGTATCACATGCTTGTAAAGGAAAGCCTGCATGATGAGTGTACCTTGAATTCATGCGTTGCTGTTGTTGTGGATGTCCTATTGTGACATGACCAAGCTCGTCCTCCGTATCATCAATGATTTCAAGCAATTCGCCTATACGTGCCGTATAACCTGCCAGGTCCGAAAGCTTGCTCGATTGTTCAATAATGTTGGTAAACTTGAAAATCAAATACATGGAGAAAAAAGAATTCTACAAGATCATGGAATAAGTACAAGTCCTTCCTGGATGCCATAAAGAAGTATGGATTACCTTTGAAATGATCTCGCTCATCTCGGATGGATCTTTGTCAGCAAAGGCACCAGCAAATATAGGCAACGCCACGATCAAGTAACTCAAGATAGAACCAAAGTAGGAGAAACTCTCATTGGCCACTAGAATCATTTCCCATCAGGATCCTTCCTCACAATAAATGTGGTTCATTGTTACTTACAATGCAATGGCAATTCTTTGTTGACGATCTTGCGTTGATAGGCCAATAAATTATCCAGCTTCTGGTTTGCTTGCTTATGTTCCTCACGTTCACCCCTGGAAAACGCAATGGGCTCTGAAAACTGGCGTAATCGCACGTGCATGAATCTTGTGTCAAGAAAAGCAGGGTCAGATCGCACTCATGATCAATGCTTATGGTTACACACACATACCTAAAGTTGCCTTCAGCCAGCTCTTTATAGAACACGGTGTTCACAATAGGCTTGATGAGCACACGACTTAGCACAGAGCCCACAATAAAGTATCCATAAATCATGATGGGACCCATTGCTCCGCTGATGGACCAGCATTTCCACGTATAGTAAATCACAAGGATAGGTGCAATGATCAAATCCTCCACAATCTTCCGTAATGACTCTGCAAACTTGTCGACGTCTTGAGTAATCCTCTGATCCCTATTATTATCGTTCAATTATGTACCATTGTGAGATGATGATGATTCATGCTTACGGGTTATCGACTGAATAGCGGGACATGACCACCGAATACAAGACGTTGGGTTGAATGTAACGATCATGCAGGTGTTGTGTCAATAGCTGTCGTGTTTTCAATGAGAACAATCCTCCCATAAATGTCAACAAGCTCTTCCCCTAATGAAAAGAGATCAGTTGGAAACAAAAGATAAGAATGCTACATAGTATGCATACCGCAGCGGTGCCAAAGACGAGTAAAAGGCATGGGAGAATGAAGCGGATGAAGCCTTGCAAATCACTGCTTGATAACACGGCATAGAATCGACTTGGTAATAGACCAGTATAGTAATAAAGGATCTCACATCCACAACTCAAAGCAATAAAGGTGATATAAAGCCAAAACAGACTGCGTTGACGGATCTTGGGTGATAAGGACCAAATCTGCTCATGGGGTGACGATGGGAATAGAATGTGGAAAATGCGAGCAAGCCGTCTCAGGAACACACGATCGAAACTGTAAAAGGGTTGCTGTGAAGTTGACTCTGGAGCGAGTTCTAACATCGGCTCTGATTCAGAGATCGTTGCACTCGACCGATGTCGCATTAAGCAAAAGAAAAAGATATAGGCAGGAAAAGGGGAGCAACCGGGTAAAGATTATATTGATTGTGAGAGTGTACAATCAGCTACTTTTTCTGGATCTTTTTGATGGCTTCATCGATATCTGGCATCAGTTCCTTGAGAGTTTCCCACTGATTCAAGGGCAAGCAAATGCCTATAACATCCTATATGAATACCTCATATCCTCTTCACTAGATCTCATCCATTACCTTTGCCATATTTAAGTTCACCCGTATTCTTGTCTGTGTAAGTTTCACGGATGTCGACCGATGGTAGACCATTTGAGAATGCTCTCACAGCGATACGTCGCTTGTTGGAAAGCTGTTTTATACATACACAGCATCATTTAATAACATGCATCTCGTTACAATACCCCTCTCTACGAACCTGAAATACGTGCTCGCCGTCTCCACTATCCTTTGAAGATTCTCCACGCTTACGTTTTTCTCCAGCGTTGCTCTTTTGTTTCTTTGTAGCAGGCTCCTGTTTTGACACCGTGTTGTTTGAAAACGCGTCGCCAAATTGACACGAACCCCCTTGCTCAAACCTTTCATTTACCTCCTCAACAAAGTCATCGTCATCTTCGTGTTCAGCAGAAGCTGTAGGCTGATAAACAGTATTAGATCAAATGCAATATGCATTCCAATAATGTAAATACCTTGTATTCTTCGTTATCAGACATTGGACGTAAAATCGGGAAAAGGAGGGAGACATGGAGTACAACGGCCAATGCACATCTAAAATCGAGGACATGACTCCGATGATCAATCAAACCCAGACTCAAGGATAGCACTTGTCACATGACTTTTGGGGCCTCCCACCTTAATCATCAAGTGGATGTAAATACTGCACACTCATTCAGAGGTCTATTCGATAAACTTTTACTCGTATACATACATACTTTACAATGGATAATGGGATATAGGCTCGATAATAAAGAAAACGGTAAACTCTCATTTCACCACCAAGAGCAGATGGTAGGCCCTGGATTTGCCGGTGTGCTTGTTGTATGCGTTGGTGAAGGTGTTGGAGTGGAAGAATGATGTGGTGCAGGTTGATCTCGAGAGTCAAAGTATTGCCATTGTCCACAATCATTGCATTCATTGTTTTCAGGCTTGCACTCAGGCAGGGAAGATTCCTCATCCTTCAAAAGGTATTCAATCATGTCCTCGATTTGATGATGTTGCAAGCTGGCATCCCATCCTTTGTCTTTCACAGTGTCCCATTCACATACCTACCAATGGATGATCATGGTTAGCATAATCGCATTCAGTGGTGTCGTTTAAATGGGTGTTCATACGTGCTTTTCCTGTATGACATTGTGTCTCTGCAATATAATCCCCACAGCCACCATCCACATTCTAATGAAAAGAACCTTGTTAAGCATTGTGAACATTGCTCCTTGGTTGGAAAAAGAAAGCCTACCGAACATTTGCCAGCAAAGATAGGATCTGCCGTATGACCAAAGTGCCAAACAGGTAATGGTAATCCAGGGGCATGAGGCAAATGCAATTTTCTTGCAGCAAATTGATCACCAGGGATTCCAAAGGATACAATAGGGACGAGGAATGTTTGCCCAACAATACTAGCAACGGCACCACCAAGAGAATACCCAGTCAACCAAATCGTAGATTGTGGGTGTCTATCGCTGATATCCTTGTAGATGCGCTTATAGGAATGACCGTATAGTGAGCATCTCGTGATTTGATGATAGGTATTAATTCGGCTTACCATGGCCATGTCATAATAGAACTCGCTACCCTTGATGTGGTTCTCGAGACAGCGGTTATCGCATGCATTCTCATTCATCTTGCAGTCGCATGTAGGTTGTTGCTCGTTATGGTCCTCGTTTCCACAACAACATGAAAACAATAACTTTTCCTAAGCTCCACCTTTAGTGGTCTATTGACGCTTGCGTATCCCCACATCCCATAATACTTGCATTGATGCTATCGTTGTGTCGAGTTTTACCAGAGCTGCTGCCTTTGATGCTGATAATGAAAATGGATTTGTCTCTATTGCCAAAGACATGCCCTCGAATGCCATCCGATTCCCAACCAAACGATTCGTTCTACAAGACAAAAAGACTTTGGTCAATGAAAGATCCGCCAAAAGGATAATCAACCCGAAATAAAATGTTGTCAGCTGACCAAGTTCCAAGGTGCACCAAGATCATACCAATCTCCTCGATCATCGATCTTGTCATGATACGCGTTCCTTGCCATCATAGCAAGCGCGAGAACGGATGATTTGTGGGATACATCTGGTAACATGCCTTGTGTCAAATAGTAGTCAAAGGTTATCCCATGATCCATCATAGACGTCCATGTCAAAATCGCTCGATCATCATGATGCTGCTGATATCGATACATGTCGTAAAGATACTCCAATGAAACAGGGCGATAGATAGCTCCTCTCTGCACGTTGACATGGTAACCCTGTGACATGAATGGATCGTTGCGTAGCATGTCACCTTGATTGGATAGCTCAAGTTTTCGGAAGAGACCTGGAATAGGGCCTGATGGGGATGCATGATGGTATATCGTTTGCAGCTGAAATACATCGTATGGCGTCACCAGTGGTGCTGGTTGCTGTGACAACGCCAAAGGCTTGTTGACAATGACAATTTCAGGTTGCCGATTACTGGTTTGCGTGTAAAGTTGGCGCCATTCTCCAGGAAGAGTTGTGCAAAGCGGTGAGGCGCAAAGACAAAGTATGAAGATCAGTTGCAAGTTTGACACGATGCTCCTATTCATTCCCGTTCAGTTGACTTGGAAGGGAGAAGATGATTGATGTGTGTGTTTTCAAAGACACGGGATCTGATTATTGACAGTGCCACCTTCCTAGAGTGTTTCATTCTTGTCAAAAGTTGGATATGCTAATTGTGTTACCACTCTTGAATAAAGTACCCTCCAACATTAGTTCACTTGGGTCGCGCATTTTGATAGAAGCATGTCATGACATTTATTATATGGAGCATGCATATTGAGTTCTTCCTAAATCTTATACTTGACCCGTCATTGACAGGTTGTTGCACAAATGGGATAATGAACACCTTTAGGAAGGGTACGTAAACAGGATGCATGTATCAAGGAGGTAGCATGTGTATGACACGTATTGGCTCCATATCACGGTAGGATGTAGGGGGGTCGCGCTGCATAAACCAATTTGCATGAACCCGATCAACTCAATGCTCACGGACATGGCAGTAACCTCTCGTCCTGAAACACAATGGAGGATCACTTTTTCTTTTAAGGTCAACCCATTCTTTATTGTATCAGAAAAGGCATATGCTTCTTACAAGACCAATCGATGACCCACCTTTATTCCATGTATAGTACACTAACCCGCAAGCAAGCAAAAAGGCAACCATCACCTTCACATTTGCTGCCACACAAACAACCTGTAGTCTTATGCCACTGTACCTTTTGACAGCATGCACGCGCTTCCACGGTCAAAGGTACTGTTGATCGGTGTCTCCATGTCAGTAAGATCGTTGCAACCTTGCTTGTGTACTCTCATTCCTCACCTTCCTTGTTCTTGTACCCTTGAGAATCACGTCAGCATCCTTGTTCGGGAGGTGAGATTGGACTTTCGTTTGCTCATCGGTTCAAAAGGATCGCTAACACTTGTACCCATCAACCTCTTCATTGGTTGCCATGATACCATACACGCCGTCTCCATGAGTTACCAAGATAGACATAGATCTTCGAGATGCATGCATGCAATGATAACAATAAACGTATACATTGTAATAAGAACAAGTGGGAATTTGATTTATTAGCATACAAGAGGATATTGTCTCCATTATAGTAAAGTGCGAGTGGGTGATCTATTACATGTAGGGGAAAGGGGACTCCTTCTAATACTATCACCACCTTCTAATACTACTATTATCATTTCATATTTTGGTCGGCGGTCCGAGCTGTTGGTATAACGCGACACTCCAACAGACGGTGCCTCATCTTTCCTCATTGCAGAAGGGGAACCGCTTCACGTCTGTTGCGCTAGCGTAACCTTACACCCTGTCAACTGCGAGGTAAAGGAACTCTCATGCCAACCTCACAAGGAGCAAGGCATATACATACTCCACTCCTGCAACAATGACCAGAACACGCTTAGCGGATAACATCCAGCCATGCTACGACCCAAGAGCATCCATGAATACGACCAGCGCAACATGAATACTTTCAGGCGGAGGGGTAACGAAGAAGGGGGAAAAAACCTCGCTTTGTTACGCGGCAAAGGCTAAGGAAAAAAACCCCTGTGCAGGCCACTCCAGTCAACTTGTTCTAAAATCAAACTTACATGAGTACATAGCGCCAAGAGATGAATGAACTAATATAAAACTTACCGGGCAAGAGAAAGGAGGATACTGCGCCTCAGAGAAAAACGGCTTTCTTTTATAACGAAAAGAGCGCTCTTTCAAACGCGCAAATTTTTTCAATCCCAGCGTGGTTTTTTTACGTGCTTTTTTTCGCGCTTTTTTGTCCAATTTCCTTTTATACTCAGCGCGTTTCGCGTCGCGCGTTTTACAGCCTAATCTCTGCCTAAAGACGCCGTTTTTTCTTGTACATGTGGGCAAGTAGAAGGGGAAGTAAAATTGTGTTGTCATGACAATCATGCAAACTGACACCTCCTATTGTGGCACGAAGCTATCATGCCGACGCCGATGCGGAGAGACGTGCAGCTAACAGCGATGCCATGTACCACTGCACCTTCTATATCCGTACATGTTGATCCACTACTATTTAACAAGCTGTGTTGGATCAAAAAGAAATACCACAGCTTCAATACACAAATGCTGATACAGTATGCTTATCAAGTGGACATCGACAAGCAAATAGCAAAAGAGATTCGACACTCTCAGCTTATGTTGCAAAAGCAAGTTGTCGTCCTGCATCTTCGGCTACTTGACAATGAACAAGGACCACTTTTCATATAGCATAACGCTTAAAGTATAGTAGAAACATAAAGACGTTAATATCTGATAATTTACAATCAAGCGTGAGGGACTATTGGTGGGTTCCATTGCTCTGGGTTTATTATCCTTGAAAACAAAAGCGTCTATTTCAACCTGTGTACAGCCCGCTGAGAAATGCCACTGCCTATCGTCTATCAGCGTATGAACAAGGAAGCTTCAACGAATGTGATGTGACAAAAGGAAAAAGGGATCTCGATAAAATGATGTAGATGATCCAATCTCGTTCTCCACCTTCAAAAGCCTTTCTCCCTTTCATTCCAGAAACCAACCAGTGTCATTGCATCCTTGGTTGCCGCCGTCATAAACATAGTCATCCCCAATTCCAAATCCGGTGCTGAATGCATTGACTCGAGTATTCCAATATCATCCATAGCTGTGAAGCGCCTTCTTTCGTCAAAGACATACATAACCCTTTTGTCAATTCCATCCAATCCATAACCATCCTCAGCCGTATCCACATGATATGATCCTTCGTCCTAGCTAACGACGTCCCAAGTAACCAAAGCAACACTTCAGGATTCTCATCATTGCACTTGATTGCATCCCATCCATCCATAGCCATTGCAGTTCCCATACGTTGGATCGCTTGACATGCTTCCTTTTCCATCCGTGTGTTGGTCTACTTCTTTCTTGGTCATCTTCGGTGGCAGCTCAACCAGGTGAGGCTTGTTTGTAATGCGGCGGACATGACAGCTGATATGGCATCATCCAAGGATCCGTATGTATCAAAAACAAGTTGCTGCTGCTATACAATGGCTATCTGTTGTTCACGTAAAAGGGCTGCAAGGCATGCTGCTGCAAGCAATTTGAGACGACGCAGCGTGGACCTTACTGATAGCGCACCGCTGTTACGGTTGGTGGTGGAAGAAGAGTGGGCAAGAGCGTGTGCTGCACAGTGACAGATTGTGAACGCTGTATGAGACAATGGAGTAAAGACATCGCTAATGACAACTGCTGCTGCGTTTGGTCGTGGTCGAGGATTGTACAAGAGAAGGTGAAGTGTCATGAAACGCGTGTGTTGTAGTGGGGCGTACACGCCATGGACTTGCCATTGAGTCAAAGGCACTCGAATCAAGGCAGTTGTAGGATTGACATGATGGGTTGAAGCAGAGCAACCGTTCGCAGGTGGTAGTTGTATACTTGAATGGCCCAACAGTTGAGAATGGGAGGAAGAGTAAGAAACGGGATGTGGAAGAACTGAAAATGAAATGGACATTTCTTTATTCATGCATTGCTCAATCAAATCCTCTTTGGACCAAGGAAGTTAAATGATGGGTATGATGGGCTGGAGCAGGGGAATCGTTCACATGCATTGGATTGGGCAACAATGGGGTTTAATAAGAGTCCATTTAATTACATGTGTTTTGGCGATGCCACGGCGTATGCATTGTCCTCCGGTACGCGTCTGTCCTGGAAAAGTGTAGTGGATCCACGTCAAAGGTGCACCATGCACACTTGATTGGCTCTTCACTTTGATATGACGAACTTAAAGTTGGGGTGTCGAGTGTGGTGCAATGATGGCTTTTCCATTGATCGATGCAAGTGTTGATGTTGATATTGATATAAATATCCAAAGACTATCGAGCGAGTTTTGAGGAAGGGAGGATGGGAGCTTGATTCGGTGCATTTCGTCCATGGCATATACGCCGTTATCATAAAGTATGTACTTCCACATCGAAAGTGATCGTACAACCTGAAGTTCCATCTTAGTTTCGGGACACCATGATCATCACGTATCGTTCGTTACCTGTCACATGGAAATTGATAACATCATTCAAACGTCGATCGCATCTTTCCCGAAGACTGACAGGCGCTCGAAATCCAAAGCGATGCTCCTACTATCGGCCGATATTGGTTTGACTTCACCAAACGCGCGTGTGTGCGAGAATTGGAGATCATGGATGGAACTCAAGAGGGCATCCGGGCGTTCTATCCTTTTCGTTCGACACTTCCTCTCCTCGGCGTTAACTTCAGGTCTACAAATATCCGAAGCTCAATTTATTATCTAAAACGTACATGTGCTTATCTCTTACCAGCGCACTGTGAGAAAGACCACAAGCACGACAACCCGTCAGCCCTCTATATAGTTGTTGCCAAGGCTCTTGACAACCATAATATTAAGGCAACACTTGCCGCTGTTGTCATAAAGAATAGGCCGTAAAATGGGGTCAATGACAAGGGAGGTAAGATAACAGCAAAACCTGAAAAAGTTCATCTTAGCTTCGAGATACACTGGTTACCAAGTATCATTTCTTACCTATGATCTGCTGGGAATTGTTCACCCTGTTTAGCGTGCGCCCATCGGTCCAAGAAGCCGTTGTATCATCACCATGCAGTCTGTGGTAGACCGTGCCACCTAATCCAACTTTGAAGATTCATCTCGCGAGGTAGCTACATTAAAAGAAGCATGAATAGGTGCTTCATCAAGCGAGATGGCGAGGTTTTACCTTAATAAAAGAGCCAAATATCACAATGACAACGATGACAATGAAAGTAGGAGAACAATGAAACGCTAAATGTATGCCGAATACAGTATGAGTACATGGATCCTTCACAAAACAAGACCATTCACCATGATGCTTACCAAGGGCTTTGAAGGCATCAGCAATCAAAAGAGATGATGTGACGGAAGGAAGAGATGTGTGGGAGTAAAATGATGGGCGACAACATCTTTTATGTGGTTGGTGGGCGTGGGGATTTTTGTGATCGCAAACAAGGAGAAAAGAGTGATAAATGATAAATGGTGATGAGCTGAGAATTGGTGTGGCGCCTTCACAAAGAGCCTTGGTGTGATTGATTGTCCATGCCAAAATCAGGATCTGATAAACAAGGTTGTAACACATCATCATCAACAACGACGGCTATCGGCTATCACGGATCGCTTGTGTACTAAAAGACATTGTTCGAGGATGTTTGTGAGTGTTCGTTTTGAGAAAGGAAGGCACCTTCATCGTTCAATACACACGCAAATGTTCCCTGCCAACGCAGCCCATAGGGATGTGGGATCTCCTTCACTCTCTCTCTCTCTTTCTCCAAGTAATTCCATTCCCATTCCAAGTATATGCATCAATTGGGTTCTTTTTTATTGGGATCTATACTTATTTACTGGCATAATATTCGTAAGCCAAAGAATGTAATTCTGGAGGATAAGGAGATGGGATTTCGGAGCGACCTGGTCGAGAGATGGGTGATCGTAAGAAAACGGTCTGGCAAGTTTTGTAATTGACTTCAAGATATTCAGGGACGAATAGGAAAGGTTGAGAGAATGGCTTAGGTTCGAATTCAAGCTCGGTGCCCTTTTCACCCTTCAACATTTGAATAGCATTGGGATCCACTGAAATGACATCGCCATCCTTGACCTTGTGTGATGGGAAAGCAAGCTAAAATTCCCATACATGTCAATAAACATGGTATCCTTCCAAACACACAAGCTCATCCCTATCCTTCTTACCTTCTTGCCATTGACTTTAACCTTTCCATGAACACATAGTTGTCGAGCAGCGTAGACTGATGATGCAAAGTTGGAACGGAAAACAATAAAATCAAGACGTCGTTCGAGTTCAGCAAAGGTCAATACGGAAACAGGTGGGTGTGGCTTTTGTGTAGAGCCACTGTTGATGGTAGGAAGCTTGGAATTGAAGAACTTGGCTTTGAATTGGCGTTCAGTGACCTCGTCACCGTGATAGGCTCGTGTCTCTCGTTTGGCGATCCATTTTTGTTGAAAGAGGGTAAGTTTGCTCAAATCGACTAGTCGCTTGTTTGCAATGTTGTAGAGGTTGTATTTGTTCCAGGACATGCGTCCCAATTTGCGCGTTAACGAGTAAATGGGTTTCTTCATGGTGTGCCTGCCGAACCAAGTTTGTTGTGTACAAGAGCAACCCAGGTGTCAACCCAGCAACTTGTGGAAAGCTTGACTGCGACAAGCCACCTCGTCCCTCCCCAAACGGACCCGAAACCGAACCCGAACATAACGTAACCTTGAACAACGTATAGATCAACCGTTGTATAACAAGAGTGATGGTTGTATACCAGGTCACGACAACACACTCGTGGTACCAAAATTTTTTATCAATGCGTTGGATGTGTCCTTAAGCCTATGGTGGCGAAAATGATGTATGGAAACCAAAATTTTATTCACCAGGAGGATTCAGCCGTCTAACCACCACAGTATGTTGGTAAACTACATAGTAATAAACAAGCATTAATACTTTTAGCAAAACATTGAGCCCATTTCAATGTCATACATGTGTACTTTCGAGTGAGTGCGTTATGGATTAGATAGTACGGGGTTTCCTGTGAAGCTCTGGGAAAAACAGGCATCCGTCGTCCCTACATCAAGATGGACATAAATAGTCAACATTGATAGCATATTAAACATCGATAATCTTCTCACGCGTACGTAACCAAGTAGTGGCAAAGGCCTGGTGATGATTTCTTCAATTACTCCAATAGAAGTGTGGGGTACTAGAATAAACCATGATAATCATTGTCGAGGTCAGGGATACTAGGTCAGGTGTAGTAGCAGAGCAAAAGTTATCTTGGCTTACATACCACCGGGGATAGGTCTATAGGAGACGATGTCTCCCACACAGCATTTTGGTGCTTCGATGGCTTGTGATGACATGTCGATTATGAGAACAAGAGAAAAGAAAAAGATAAACTATGTATGTGAAATCTTTATGTATGTAGCTGATCATCATGATATCATTTCGGGGTAAGGTCATTGTGAGAAGAATGATGAATTCATCAGCAAAGACTCATTGTGTGATGATCGATGGTAAAGTTAACATGTTGTTGCTTATTCAGAGATATCCTTTGGTGAGGCGTTTTGGACCCATTATGCAGCTGATGCGAAGGATGCTATTGGGATCAATCACTGGCGGATGATTGTATGGTGCAATGGTATGAAGAGAGCGTGTGGTAAAAGTATGATGGATGCTGACTTGGGGCACTTGCTTTTCGATCAGGACGCTAATTAAGGAGGGTACACTATGATATGGAATGGATTACTATGATGAAAATATAGACGTGCTAAAGGTAAACTAAAAAAAGCGGATACTGCAGCAGCGTATTCAACATGAGCTTTTGCATAGACACCGAGTGTGGGTGTGGCAATCATTGGTAAATGATGTTCCGTTCATTTCTTCAACGCCTACCAACCTCCTCTTTTATTATAGTACGTTGGCTATTCAGGAAGCTACCTATCTTCTGGTCCTTGGAATTATCATGGATGATGCTGTCATTGGATGTCAACATGTCTTCGTGCATACATGGCTATTATTGGTAAATAGTGATTCGGTTATTTGTTCGAGGGCTAATACTCACATGAAACCTCGCATTGTCATTATCGGTTCAAGTGTAAAGGATATTGTCAAGGCACAAATTAGGAACAATGAAAGGAACGACCTTCTCCCACTTCCGCTTCATAACGATGCAAGGTAAGACCAACTCCATTTACACTCTCCACACCACTAACTTCTGGCATTGCCAGCAATGCACACCGTCAATGGGTGAACAAGTGGTCAATGGCGACACATTCAGCTACAACAAGCACGTGCGCGATCTACCCATGACACAAGCTTTCATTCCAATACAACAAGTAAGTTCAATCGCTGCAATTCCTTTTATTGTTCAAGTCGAACATTGTGGTACTAAAGTTCGCGTATAGGTTGGTGTTGTCTCGTCTATACAAGACCCAATGAGGCATCGTGTACATTCCTTACCGAGTTGTCCACAGTGAGAGTTCTCAAGACGTCTTTACATTGCCTCTTTTGGGTATGCTGACAACAAAAGCGTGTGGGTTGGTTTTACATGTTATCTCATATTGCGTTTATGGTAGGTTGAACATGTTGGATGATGGTACCTCTGGCAGCAACAGGATACGGATCTCAAAACAAGAATGCTGTGTGGTTGGCTCAAGTGGTATGCGTGGTATTGGATCTACAAAGCGAAACCTGTGAATTAACGAGACTTACAGTGAAACAGCAGCAGCATCTACTGGATGGCATGAATATACGGTTTCTATTTGAGGCATTGATGCTATTGAGAAATACCACAAGGTAAGAGTGTTTATTATGACGGGATTGGTTGGATTCAAGTGGACTTACCAAACGCCATACAGTGGCAGACCCTCTTTCGGCGATACTATTATTATCAAGGCTGCACGTCAAGGACGCCATTGTATAGTACTGTGCTCTCCTGGGGAATTTTGGCCCGGAAACAGTGTGACTCAAGATGCGATGGCAAGGCCAATTTGAAAATGCATCCGCTGTGCACACGGCCTCCATCCAAGTACGGCTATTGATTTCCTTGCCTACAGAGAGAAGGTGGATATCTCTTATGATGCCAATTTCAGGATCCAATGAGAGTATGGTACATATGGTGGCATACCTTGGCGCTGCAGGTTGATTATTGTATTGCCTTCGGATGGCGTATTTGGTTGCAATTCCTTGTGATCACCATGGCTCAGGTATGTATGACTCTCATGCTTTTTGGAGACCTTTGCTGAAATGCCTACCATTATTTAGAGGGACCATTGCAGAGAGCTACTTGTCTTTTGGTGCTTTGGAGTTTACAAGATCACAGCTATGATTGCTAAGTATTGTTGGATGAGTTTGGACAATTGTTTATAGTGCATCTTTTATAGGTGAATCATGTCAGCCATGGGGAAGCATTTATGTCTTTGGTGGTGTCAACCTTTATTGCGTCTCGGGTGGTTGGTTACCAAGCAACGGGCGATTTCTCTGGAGAATGTCAGCCAATGAACGTCTTTTATGAGTGGATTGTATCAGCAACAAACAACAGCATCCATATCGTTGGTGTCATATCAAGCTTTATCCCATCATCTGGTTCTTCTCGTTATCGGCAATTCGGTGGGCATCCTGAAATGAAGGTCTCTTATCGATTGATCACATCAGCAGCAAGGAACAACTTGTATATCTTTGATATCAGCAACCTTTCTATCTCTTGGTGGTTCTGGTTATTGGCGATTCCTTTGATGCATCTCTACAACTATACGTGTCTTATGGATGGATCATGTCATCAACAA